CCCCCCCCCCCATCATAGCCCCTGATTAGTGAGCATTCTTTCAAAAAAAAAAAATTCCCCTTTTTCATACTCATTTTTAATCACTCATTCTTAGAAATAAATATTTTTCACTTAAATCCAAAAAATTTTCTACATTTTAGCCAGAAATTCTTCAAAAATTATTTATTTATTTATATATATATATATATATAGAGAGAGAGAGAGAGAGAGAGAGAGAGAGAGAGAGAGAGAGAGATTTTATCAAATAGGGGGCACGAAGAGAAATTGGGGAAAAATAATATTTTAAATAATGAACTTTTGGAGAATGTATAAAAAAAAAAGAGTTTTGAATAATGATTTTTAAAAGAACCAGTCATCATTGAACCTGGGTTGCACGTCATTAAAAAATAATTTATAAGTGTTGTAAAAGTAATATTTGAATTTGCGTGAATGTTAATTAATTTAGAATTAATAATGATGCATACCTTTTATGCAACCCCGACAATGATTGAGACTTGAGGACTCGCCTTTCATCCTTTTACCATGCAAGTCCTAGAGTGCTCAAGTACCCGAGGACAAACACTCAGTATTCTAGCTATTAGGGTTTAGACGTCCTCTGGGTCAGGATATGTTGTCCTCGTTCCTGCCTGTTTGGGGCCAAAAGCATCATGGCTATAGAAGGATTCCAATCCCTCTTAAACTGCTCAACCTAGGACTCTTATGCCTTGTTATTCTACTGTAACAGTAGCACTACTTCACAACAATCGGAACTAATCATAACACGAGTCCAACGCCTACAAGAAGTAGGACTCTTTTGGATAAGATTAAGAATGTTCAACTAACTTAGCTCCCATTTAACCTCCATTAAATTCTATTCCATTTTTCTCTCTCCTATTTTCGATCACATAATATTCTATGAAATAATATTACGTGTAAACCAAAAAAAATTTCTTTCTTTTTCAATCACTCATTTAAAAAAAAATATTATTCTATCCATTTTCATTTCCAAAAAATGGGGGCCAAACGGGGGCTTAATTCTACTAGGAATGTACCACCTATCTCTATAAATATGAGGCTATATCCCATTATTCAGGTATGTTTTCATTATTTCTAATTTATAGTCTTATGGACAAATTTCCTTTCTGACTTAAGTATCGGTGGAGAAATGAGAAACACACCTCATTGCCTTTGTTTTACGTGCTAGAAGATTGCGATCATACTCATTCACAGTCCTCAAGTTCGGGATATCAGCAGGTGCAGATTTTTAGTAATCATTAGCGTTCATCTCATGAATGAATGTTAAATCATTTATTTAATTTTCAATTAAGTAAAATTGGATGTTAATTAGCATGTATGGATGTAAATAATGAAATGCATTCTTGAATGTGAAAATTCTAATTAACTTATAATTAGAAATAAAAACACTAAAATGAATATATGAAGATGAATATTAATTCAATGAATGTGAATGTTAATTCATTGAGATTTCATAATAGGAAATTCATACATTAATAACAGTACACACGTGAAATGAATATGTCAAATGGACATGTACAGTTACAGTAACTAGATGGTTAAATAAATTAAATACATATTGAAAAATGAAAAATAAAATATTATTGAAATAATTGAATTCTATAGCTATAATCATCCAACAAATGATTCTCACTTGATGTGGTATTTAATATATTATTAAAAATGTGTGGTTAAAAAGTAGAAAATTTTTTTAGCTTTACATATAAAATATTGTGTAATGAAAAATGAGTATGTAAAAAAATAGTTTGAAAAGTATGGTTGTCAAACAAGGGCTAAGCAAAACTTTTGAATTTATGTGCAAAATATTTTATTATTCAAATGGATGACTGAAAATGAGTGATAAAGTGTTTGAAAATAAAGAGAATCAATCAAGGACTAAAAGATGTAACATTCAAAATTCTTGAAACTTAGACTCATTTCTATAGAAATGTTATAGTAAAACTTGTCATGCTTTTAATTCACAAGCCCTCGTATGTGACGTGGCATCATAAATAATATTATTTGGCAACATATAAGCACTTAATATTGTCACACATAGTGACAATTACTGTAACTATTAGAAACTTGGGCGGTCGTTCTCGTAAAAAAAATACTTCAATGATCATTAAAGTGACCTTCGAAAACCTTAATGATGATGGCCGAAATTGACCCTCAATCTATTACTTAAGTAGTAAGTTGATCATCAACTTTTAAATATGAGCACATTGGGCCTAAAGCTTTAACTATAGTTCAACAATCTACTCCCAAGTACAAGAGAAAAAGGTCGAACGAAACTCTAAATCGCCGGCCGGCGATTAATATTTAAATACTTTTACTCCGTTCCTCTACCAAGTAATCGGCTCTGTTTTTTTCTTCTTTTCATCTATCATTAACCTCCTCGTGAATCGGCGAAGCCAAAGGAGTGAAATACATAGGAGAGTCACAAGGAGTTGGAAACTCCGCCTCATCGCGGACGCCGCCGCCGTCACCGTGATCATTAACCACCATTGCGGCTTTGGGCGGCTCTTCTACCACCTCCAAACATTCCTTCAAGGTCACTCTTTCTCTAATGCTAGTGCTATTACTTTTGTTGGATTCTTTTTCAGCAGAAGAACACAATGATTTCTCAGCGACCGATTCCAAGTCCTCTTTTTCCTCTTCTTTGATGGTGAACAAGAATCTTGGCGGTCCACACATTCTCTGAAGCTTCCACACGTCGATAACTTCCGTTTCCGGTGGCGCGTTTGAACTCGCCGGAGAAATGGAGTTAAGTTCAATACGGGGTTGTGATCTTACACAGAAGAAGTAGAGAAGATCCTTGGAGGAGATCGCTGACGGAAACCAAGAGTCTGATGAAGAATATTGGGGCAGTTGAAATTCGCGGTCGCTGGGTGGTGGATTTTTGCGGCGGAAGAGACGGCGGCGCCACAATACATAGAACAATTCGGCTAAGAGCGCCACCAGTGAGATCACAAAGATTATAGTGAGTGCAATACCTAGCTTGCTCAGTCCACCGCCACTCATTTTGGTTGCTCTCTATGATGAATTATTAATTTACTTATAATAAGTAATAATTAATTAATAGAAAAATGAGCTTCTGGAAGCAGTAACGGATAAATTTCATGACGTGGCCTCCAGGTTTGAATAAGTTCGAATCTAGTGCGCGGAAAGAGACTTTTTATTTTTTATTTTTTTTAGATCTGATCCATCACCAGCACCATGTTTGTTTAAGCTTTAATTATAAGTACTTAATCCCGTTATAAGCTCTTAAGTTCTTATAAAAAGTTGATCTTATTATAAAATTTAAAGTACTTATAAACTATTTCTCAACTTTTGTTACAAGTAATTGTACCACATAGTTTTAGTGCTTTTTTTTTCCTCCTTTTAAGTACTTATTTCTCAACTTTTGTCATTAGTAATTGGTGCTTGCTTGAGAAAAATTATAATCTCATTATAATTTAATGGTCAAAATCAAGCATTTTATTATAACCCTGCACTATTTAGGATCCACAATTAGTATTCATTTATTATCTATATGTTGTGCAATCAGGTCCACCATATAAATAATTTTCAAGGCCCAACCAGGCTCATAAGCTAAGGTCGTATTCGAAAATTAAAGTTGAGCAACTTGAGCCATATTATAGTTGGGTAATCGAGAAAAGGGAAAATTTCAAGTCAGGTGTTAACTTTCACACAATTCAACTTTTAGGTGTCAAGTTTCCAAATGGAAAACTCAGGTTTTAGCTAATTAATAAAAAATATTTATTAATTAAATATAACAAAGTCACAATTATATAATTAATGATCACATTTATATATTTATTGATCACATATTATCAAATTAATTGATTATCGATTATTTCGAGGTCACAAATAAAAATTTTTATAGGTCACAGATTATTTTGAGGTCACAAATAAAATTTTTTATAGGTCACAATTTATTTTATTGATCGCAAATAAAAAAAATAGTGGTAAGTTTATTTATTAGTCACAAATTTTCAAATTTGTAGGTCACAAATTGTTTTTCAGTCTCAAATTATCAAATTTTAAGGTCACGATTTAATATTTGATCGCAGATAACAAAATAATTGGTCACATAGACCAAATATTGGATCACATATCACCACCAACACTACTGCTATTGCTACTTGTGACCACCATTGCCAGCACCACAACACTACTACTATCGTACCACTGCCATTACCACCACCATTGTTGATCGCCACTACCACCTTCAACACCACCATTTACACTATCACACAAAAATTGTCACCAAATCCACCATCGCTACCAATGCTTCTACCTGCACAACCAATAAAAGCCACCTAAAACCCTCCAACAATGCTAAAACCACCTCAACCACCACCACCACCACACCCCAAGCAGATTCACCACTATCATTGGCCTCACCATCGCAACACCTCATCACCACTACGACGACAACATGAAAACCCAACACAAGCAGATCTAATGAGCACCGAATTGTGGTACAGATCATCGAACTGACAAAAATTTCAGATTGTCGCATCACAAGTCGGACACTTCAATCTCCTCTTCATTATAGTTGCTGACGACGACGCACAAATCCACCATCACCGAATCCACCATTATAGCCATGTGCAGTGACAATGAACAACCACTACCATTGATCTGTGCAGAGCCACCCGCAATGACTTCATTGTCGCTGTGCGCGGCTTCTCAGTGCTTGAGAGTGTCTTCGTTGGCGGCGCTCTCCAACAAGCAACAACAATTGATGTGTGACGGAACCTCCAGTGGTGTTTTATGATAGAGAGAAGGGAGAGAATATAGAGAGAGATAAGGAAGGGGGTAGAGAGAGAAAAGATAGGGAAAAATGATTAGGGTTTGAAATAATTGGATGGAGATATTTAATACTTAATTATTATATTGATATCTGATTTATGAATAATGACATTTTATTCTTGATTTTTGAATTGTGATCTTTAAACACCTCAAATTATATAATTAGGCTGAACCCAACATCTATCATTACAAAATGGGCTGGTCAACAGGCTCAATTATCGAATATTTAGAGTTAAGTGGGGTGTAAACCCAAGAATTGAGGCCCAGTACATTTGATGTTGTACAGATTCAATCCTCTAAACCCCAAATGTCACAATCCAGAGTTCAACTCATCTAATGAAGCTCACCAAATAAAGCACGCTAGGAAAAGCTTAAAAAGTTTACTTATGTTATAAGTAAATGAGTGTTTAATATAAATTTATAAATTATACTGTAAAACAAAAAGTAAGTTAATTAGTTAACAATAAGGCATAGGTTAGTCTTGAAATAAATAGCTTTTACGTATTGTGCATTACGTGTAACCTATAATTTCATACGCAAAATGTAACTTTACTCACCACAAAAAGTTAATAGCTTTTAGTCGAAAAAGCAGGTTTGGATAAAATGTTATTCTTGTTGGTGGATGGTGCTTTTGACCATAGTTAGAATATTATAACTGACTTTTCCCATGTTATAAATTAAAGAATGATTCATCTTACGAAAAAAAAATTAATAACGTGAAATAAGAAAAACAAAATCAAAAGCAGCATTACACGATTTGAGGCGCTTCACTCTCAATGTGAAAGTTACCGCGTTCGGATTACAAAATATTTACTACTCACATCTCTTTCTATTTTTTCTCTATTATGACACGTAGAATAGAAACTCGTCCTAATCCTCTTTTGCATGAATGAAACATTAGGACAATCTAATACATATGCGCATTTTTCGAAGTGCTCCTATAACGCTTGTAAATCGTAGATCGAATTGAGATTCGAAAAAAAAAGTATACAATATATTCGGTCCACACATCAATATTCCAAATTAAGATGTTGAATCTTGAAACCATTTTCAGATTAACTTTAACTTAGAGGTGTTAGAAACGATCAACTTATACAATTTCCTATGCATCATTTCACACTACACAAATTGTTCATACCATTGTGTATATGAGAATAAGATAATGAATGAGAAAAAGTAAATCCATTTAAAGGTGGAAAAAAGGTACATGGATTAAAGTAATCTTTTAACTATGGGGTGTGCTAAAAAAAAGGAACAACTTTGTGTCAAAAGGGCTGTCCACTTTCTGCACTTACATTATAAATTAATGTCACCATGCATGGAATATCTTTTTTCCTGGTTTTGTGGAAAATTAATTAGATTTCAAATGCCTTCACATGTCAACAACTTAATTATTCATCTATTTTAATTTTTCTTAGACAGTTCCTAGAAAGTTCTCAAATTTTGTTGTCACTCAATTGGCCAACTTTCTTATCAATCGGTTAGGAAAAGTTGAAACTAAATGTTTCTTATACATCCGAGAATTCTTTAACATCTCCTCAATTAAAGACAGGACAATCGAAGCAAATTGAGTTTTAGAAATTTGAATTTTAGAACTAATGCATAAAAATGATGAAAATGCGATTGGTAAAAGATTTTAAGAAAAGATTATTGTTGACCTCGTTTCCGGTTAGGGTCACGTGAACAACAGATGCTGGATCCACCCATGTGCACGTAAGCAAAAGTCCAACACGCTTAGACACACAAAGGGTGTGGAGCGATCTGAAAAGGAGCGTGGGAGTAGCTCAAAGGCACGAGACGATAGCGTTCGAGATCCGGCGATGCATTTGTAAAATGATTGTATAATAATTACCAATCGCGATTTGTTGAGTTTGTATGTAAACTTGGTTGTATTGCAAGAGAGTAAAATGTGTCGTAATTGTTCTGGTATTGAATTTTGCGTTAGTTTTACAATGGGAGTATGGGGGTATTTATAGTAATACCAGTTGAATTGTGGCCATCGGTTGAGGGTACATGTGACCTCATCTTGTTAGTTTATTTATCTAATCCTAAGCATCATTTTTTACCACCTAGCCTGCTATACATTTGTTAATTGTTAGAGTATTTGTTATATTTGACAAAACAAGACACCTGCACCCTATGATGGACGTCCTATCAATCACTCGAAAATTATTCTTGTGTAAGATCGGATCTCTTGGGAGAGGTGGTGGCAAAGGTGCTTCAGAGCTTCGGCTCTAGCATAGGGACCTTGGCCAATGCAATTTGGCCCTCAAGCAGTTGGGCCCACTTTGCTTTTGGATGTTGTGTGTTCTTCATTGGCCTTAGGGCCTCAGCTACCATGCCATGTGGTCTGGCTTGGATGGGCCACGGGCCCCAGTGGGTCGGCAAATGTACCAGTACATAACAATTATTATGATGAAAATGTTTGTCCAAAGCTCTACGTAAAAATGAGTTCATTTATTGATGGTGAAAGGTTAGGTCAGTTAAATATAAACATTTTAACTGATGATATAGGGTTTTTGTTAATACTCTTAACAATGTTGATATTTTGAGATAGAATTTTATGATATTAAAGTCAACAATCACAAACAAATAAAACTCAAACAAGTAGGTAGGTCCATAATATTAATGTCAAAATGTAACACCGGTAAAATAGGAAGACATTAACTAACATATAAGAATTGGGGTTACTCGTCCTAACAAGTAAGACATATCAAGACTGAATAACAATACTCCATATACCTAACATCTGTTTCCCCTGTTACAAAATATATAAGTATTCAAAATTTTGTTAAATTTCTTGTCATCTTATTATTCAAATTGTGCATGTATTACATATTTGCTGAAGAAAACTAAATTGTCTACATATCTTTGACGTGTTGAAGTATAAATTTAAATACATAAATAATTCATTCTAGATAGTTTAGGTAAAGTTGTTTAAGAGTTAACTCTATCTCGTAGTTAAGGAACGATAAGATGGATAGGAGAAAAAGAATGTGGACAAGAATTTAATCAAACCCGCCTTTCCCTCCAAACTCCTAAGCTTTTAAAAAGACAGTATAGAGACAAATTCCCTACTTATGCATAGAGATTTAATTAAAAGTCATACCAACATAATCATCTTTTGACGATTCTAAAGTAAAAATATCTTTTTTAAGGTTTAAAGATAGATTCTTTATCAATGTTTATTTTACTTTTATAAT